TGGACAGCACCAGTCCCAGTCTGTCAAGGTACTGTGATCATCATAATGTTCTTCTGTGCCTCTCAGCTCATTAAATGCCTTAGCACCTGCACTGAGCACTGTTATTCATTTATCCATCAGACGTTCACTAAGAACACACTATTTGCCATGCCTTATGTGCCGATCGCTAGGGAAAAAATGGTAAAGTCGGTCAGTGTTAGGCACGCATTGTTCATTACGGCACAGTCAAGGTGAGGGTTGTTTTGATTGACATGTTCAGGGTGCATTGACATGAAGGAGATGAGGGCTGGGGACTAGCAGGGGATCGTGGAAGAGTAATGGACAAGGTGTTTAGTCTGGTTCTGTCAGTTCCTGTTAATAACCTTTTGGACTCTGTGAGGCTAAATGTTTTCTGTAAAATGGGAATAATATTATCTGCCTTACCTACCTGCCTCACTAGAAGTTGTGTGAAAGCAACTTAAAACTGCCATGAGCTTTTTAGGGAGAATAATGATGATAATATTACCTTATAAATCATATGTCTGTGGTCCGATTTGACAAAAAGTGATCCTCTTTCCATATTTCATGTTTTCAATATTATGGTCTCACAGAACTAAGGCACAGGGAGCTCACTAGGTTTTTGTTTATTTATTTGTTTTTACAAGGGGTACTTCACACACACAGAAGTCACATTCCAGAAGTACAATATAGGCATTCTGTGTGGCCATTTACTGGGACCCCTGGGCAATTTATGTGGATCCCCTAGGTCTAAGTATGCCCCGATTTTAAAATGAGGCAGTGGTTTGAAAGCAAAATCTTGAAGAGATATTTGTGCATCCGTCTTCATAGAAGCATTATTCACAATAATTTAAACATGGAAGTAACCCAGGTGTCCGATGGATGAATGAATAAGCAAAATGTGGCATGAACACACAATCGAACATTATTCAGCCTTAAAAAGGAAGGAAATTCTGACATATGCTGTAACACAAATGAACCTTGAGGACATTATGCTAAGTGAAATGAGCCAGTCATAAAAAGACAGATACCGTGTGATTCAACTTACATGCAGTACTTTGGATAGTCAAAGTCACAGAGACAGAAAAGAGAACGGTAGTTGCCAGGGCCTGGAGGAGAGGGATTGGGTGGTGACTGTTTAACAGGTCTAGAGTTTCAGTTTGAGATGACGGAAAGAGTTGTAGAGATGGATAGTGTGATAGTTGCCCAGCTATATGAATGTTCTTAATACCACTGAACTGCACACTTAATACTAGTTAAATAGTAAATGGTAAACTTCACGCTATATATATTTTACCACAATAAAAAATTGAAAAGCAAAAAAAAAA